CTGGAATTGGTGGAGCAGATTGTGTGTTTCAAGGAAATATAAAAGTCAGCGGTTTATAATCTTTTCAGAAAGTTTACAAAGGCAGCTTGTAAGTGAAATGGGCCTATAACTCGAAACTGAGGAAGGGTCCTCGCCCTCTTTTAAAATGGGAATAATTATATCCTCTTTCCAGAAAGTGGGGATAGCGCCAGAAAACCAGATAGCATTGTACAAGCAAAGTAGGGTTTTTTGCATTTTGATTGGTAGGTTTTTCAACATCTTGTACACCACACAATCAGAACCTGGGGCAGAATGACTGCAGAAGTTTAGTGATGTTTGGAGCTCAGCTAAGCTGAAAGCTTGGTTGCACGCTTCGTGTTTTGTACATTTGTGTTCTAGTTTCTGCTTTACAACTCTTGTTTTGTATCTTTGAAAGGGTTCACTATAGTGTGACGAGCTGGACACTTGTTTGATGTGTGCACCGAAGAAGTTTGCTTGATCTTCCAAGCTGAAACCTGGTGTGTTTACGAGAGCGGATGAATGTACTTGCCAGCCTGCTATTCTCTTAACCATTTTCCAGACTTTAGCCTCTTGTGTATATGAACTGATGCCTGATATAAAGTTGTGCCAACTTTCCCTTCTGGCCTGTCGGCACGTCTTCCTGCCTTGAGACTTTATGTTTTTAAAATTTGTAAGATTCTCCGCTGTCGGAGAGTCTCGAAGCAGCTTCCATGCTTTATTTTGCTTTCTATGTGCATTCCGACACTCACTGTTCCACCAAGGAATGTGTCGCCTGGTGGACCGTCCAGTTTGTGGGATACACTTTGTTGCAGCATCAATAAGAAGTGCTGTCAAAAAGTCTACAGCTGCATCTATACTTAATTCACATATGTCCGACCAAGCGAGTAGCTTCTCTGAACTTTTCCCAGTTCGCTTGGTCGGTCTGCCATCTGAGAACATGTGGAGGACTTTTGTCTGGTGATCCACTTAGACTGATCGGAAAGTGGTCACTTCCGAAAGGATTGTTGATCACTTTCCATTGAAAAAGGGGTACAAGCAATGGGGACACAATTCTGAGGTCTATGCATGAGTAGGTTTTGTTGGCGAGGCTAAAGTATGTTGTCTCTTTCCTATTCAACAGATATGCACCCAAAGAAAAGAGAAACTGTTCGATTAGGTGACCTCGTGCATCACAGCGAGAGTCGCCCCATAGACCATTATGTGCATTCAAGTCCCCGAGGACTTTATAAGGTTCCGGTAGTTCATCTATAAGTGACTGGAATTCGTGTTATTCGAGACGGTACTGTGGAGGTATGTAAAGAGAGCAGATGGTGACAAGTTTGCTCAAAAGAACTGCCCGAACAGCCACTGCCTCAAGGTATGTTGGTAGCGGTAGGTGTGTACATGCTACGCCCTGATCAACTATAATGGCTACACCACCATATGACCCTACAGCGTCATTGCGGTCCTTTCTGAATACATATTACATATTGATGTAGGAAATTGGTGTTTCTGGAATTTAAGTGCGTCTCTTGTACACACAACACTTTTGGGGAATGTTTGTGTAAGAGTTCCTGAATATCGTTGTGTTTTCTAAGCAGTCCTCTGACGTTTCATTGCACTATTTGTGTATTCATTATGAGTGTAAATGAGTGCTGTGTGTACTAAAGAAGTATTGCGTTAAGTCAGGAGGCCTTGTCAGGCCCCGTGATGATGATTTCTGACTTTCTGGTGCACTCTAAAGAGTCCCGCTTGTCCTTCGGCGACGAAGACTCCGTTGGACTTGTTGTGTCCAACACCTTAGACGAGGTGCTGGATGCCCACTCACGGTTCACGCGTGCGGGCATGAAAGTGCTAGAGCTATCTGTCAAGACAGAAGGCCCTGGGGCTTCAGATCCGGAGGGTTGGAAAAAGTGAAATGCACTAAAGGAATTCCAAAGGTTTCATTGATAGGGTACAGGACACAAACACAACCTCAGGACATCCTCAGTATGCCTCCGTGAGGACACTATGACGCCCTCAGAATGTCCTCTTATGATACTAGAATGGCACTAATCCCGTCCCCTTGTCCATACACATAACAACCTCAGCACATCTTCAAAACAACATTTCAGGACTTTTTCAGTATCTTTTCAGAACAACGATAGCGTGACCGGTTCGGTACTATGGGCAGTGATACTACTTAGGATTTACTTTTTTTCATGATGTTTCGATACATCAAAAGAAAAACACCTGTGAGGTCTCGTTTATATATACTGTATCAAACAAAAGAGAGGTGACAGTGCTGGACTATTACAGTAAAACAAACAAAGCTTGTTGACTGAAATTTATTCATTTAACAGTAATTAATCACAACTGACAGCTTTGTTAGGCATTCGAGTCCACTTATAGTCTGAAAAAAAAAGAAAAGCAGTATCAAAGCAGTCGACACAGCTCAATCAACTACGTTTATAGTCTTCCTCGAAAGCTTGACACAGTGTCCTCATCACCACGTGTATTGTGCCGAATGCGCTCACTAGTGTTAGAGGCTCCGCTCTGACATCTTACCAGTACACTTAACACTGGCATTTTGCTTGACTTGCCCGAGGTCAGGCCATGTGTCAGATGCAGAAGTCGATCCTTTCACGTTGGGACCAGGCTGCTTCGAAGCACAGTTGATTGCGATTGGCTGGTGTTCTAGGCTGCTTCGAACCACACCTCGCCGCGGTTGGCTGGTGACAATACATCCATGATCAGTCTGAGCCTTGAGCAGCCCAGTGCACCCATCAACACGGCAATTTATCTCCTGTCACCTATGACTTACACTCTCACACATACCTATCTCACTTTTAACCATGCACACAAACAACAAAGAACACGAACCTTCACTAGAACACTGCACGTTCCCTGACTCCATTTTGACAGTCAGTTGGCTTGGAATGGCTTGGCTACTTGACTATCCAGAATAGTGCCACATGGTCAATGGTTGCCAGCTGCTAGTTTGTTATTACGCGCTACAGCGGCGTATAATGACTAATTTAAGGCTGTGACATTTAAGAACACACTGTTTCAAGAGGACATTTTGCAATACTAGGTTCGACACCTAAGCCAATTAATTACCTGTGTCTCATTAAGCAGAACGCATAATTTGAAGATTTTCTGCCAAAAAAGAAACCAACGAGGGAAAAATATACAATAACTATATGACTGCATGAAAAGAACGTGTGGAAAAACTTTTCACATATGAAAAGCATCTAGTTCTTGGTGCGCAAAGGTCATGAGGAATTATACGTAAGTTCTCAGTGCAATGCTTTTGTCGTCCCCTAAAAGTCCTTGACAAGACCTTTTCTGGACAATTTGTCGTCCTCAGAAAGCACTCGAAAAGACGTCTGAACCGCTGCTAGTGCACTACCTTTGTTCTCTCCAAAACGTCCTTAAAATTACTTTTTCAGGATAAACTGCTGTTCTCAAAAAGCACTCGAAAAGACGTTTCTGCGTCAAACCAGCTTGTGTCATCCTCAGTAGGTACCAAGGTCAATGAGAACTGTGCGAGGACGATTGTACCATATGAGGACGGCCTCAGGACATCGAGTGTTGTCTGGGATAGTACTTGATGACAATGACGTTCTCGCATCTTTTGATGTACGGTCGCTTTCTACAAGTATGCCTGTTGTTCTGGCAATTGACGTATGTAAGGCAGCCCTTGTGTCAGACCAATCATTGCCGGACAGAACACCCATCGATGTTCCCGATTTGTTAAGGTTGCTGCAGTCCTGGTCAGAAACACCTATTTTATATTCAGGAGCAAATACTACAAACAAGTTCACGGCCCCGCGATGGGTTCTTCTGTATCCGTCGCTGTCTCAAATCTTACCATAGAGGATGTTGAGAACCAAGCTGTCACTTCAGCTGCTGTCCCGCCCAAGACGTTTCTTCAGTATGTGAATTATTGCTGTTGTGTCTTGCAACAGGATGCCCTGCCTTTATTCTTGGAACTGCTAAATTCTGAGGAGGCCGTGATACAGTTTATCGTAGAAGAAGAATAAGACAGCTGCCTTCCGTTCTTTGACGTCGTCGTGAAACGAGATGGTAGGTAGGTGCCTGACTTTCAGTGTGCACAAAAACAATACACACACCGGTCGTTTCCTGAGCTTCGATTCTGTGCACTCCTCTTGCCATAAACCTTCTGTTGTGTCCACACTTGTAATGTGCGCTCAGAAGATTTGTTCTAAGAAAGAAGACGCACTAGAAGACGAGGATACCATCGGACGTGAGCTGGCTGCTTGTGGATACCCGCCTACTTTCATGAACTCGGTGCAGTGACAACTGCAGCTCAATCGCTCAATTCCTTCAAGAAAACGCGCGTCGGTGCCCTACGTCCCAGGCTTTAGTGAAATCCTCATTTTGGTTTTGCGTGGCTACAACGTCCAAGTGGCTCATGTTTCAACACGAACAGAGGTCGTCTCACAAATGTGAAGGATAAGTTGGACAGACACGATTTTCCTGGTGTAGTATATAAAATTCCTTGCAAAGACTGTGAATACGGATATATTGGCGAGACAAGCAATTTTAAAAGAAGGCTCTGTGAACATTTCAATGACGTCAAGAACAAGAAAGTGGCTTCTGATGCCCTTGCAGAACACGTTGCATCTACTGGACACACCATTGACTGGGATAAAGCCTTTATTATTGGAGCGGAAAGAAAGTTATTACCGGAATTGCATATAGAATCTCTAGCCATTAAAACTACCGTGCACACGCTGAAAAGAAATATTGGGACCCCCCCCTCCCCCCCCATTGTACTCGCTATGTCTGCAACACGTGAAGAAACGCGCATAAGAAGAATGCACTATGCCAATTGCGGTCACTGTGAATAAAGCTCCCGTGTGGGGAGCCAAAACGTCTTTTTAATTTTTGTGTATTTTACCTTGGTCGGCGTTTTTGTTATTTTGCACCAGCCTCTTTGTAGTATAAATAAATTACACAATGCAGACGTATACATAAAGATTGTGCCAAGGTACGCTGATTGCAAAGGGGCCTACCTTGCAATCTCCGACTGCCTTGTCGTCAGTCTTCTTGAGTATCTTGAAAGGAGCCAGGAGGCGGTAGCGCACGTTGAAAGCCTTGAAGCGCATGCGATGGGGCAAGCCTGGATCGTGGCAGTCGACAGAGAGAAGGAACGATGCATTCACATGCGACATTTCTAAACAATTTCGCTATCACTATGATTTTTTACCCGCTTGGCTCCTCATTCGAGAGAGGAAGCTATATGAAACATCCTGACATGCTTGCAGTTATGTCTGAAGTCAGGGTCTAAGCTTTAAAAGACCTTATGCCAATCGAACCACCATACCGGTCAGCTGCAACATCATCTATCTTCAATTTATATTTCATGCAACCGCTGCTGAGATCGATATGACAGTCATGTACACACAAGTGCTGCCGGACACCACTTCGCTCAATGGCACATAGTATTGCTTCTTTTCGAGAAATTTTGTTCTGATGACACAATGATGACAGAAACACCATTCCACGGTCACTATATCTATGTCTGCATTTAAATTGCATTATGCAAACTACTTCAACGTACTACAGAAGGACTTGTTCTTGAACTAGTCGGTGCTACTGAAAATCATAATGTAGCGCAAAAGAGACACCTTTCTGCTGCCCTAATCACTTTCATTTGAATGACCTTATTCAGAGGTGAGATCAAGCGCTATTTAGGCATTCTCAATCACACCTGGAGGACTTTCATTGCGCTGTGCTCAGGAGAAGCTCAGGTGCTAGTGTTTTCACAGAAGCTTGAGGTCTTCTGTGGGTACCTCAGTAGTGAGTCTAAGATTTTTAAAAGGATGGTTTTACTACGATGAGTGTGTGTGTCAAGGATGCCTTCTATAAAGTTGAGCGTCCTTACCGTGGTTCTGTGCTTAGTGTTTTTAAAGCATATGGACACGAACTCAGATTTACTACAGAGATAACCACAGAAACCTCTCTACAGCTTTTAGACCTCAAGCTATTGTAGGACCATGAACAGTTTTGTTGGTGGTATTACCAATCTCGTGTGAAAAAGGGGTTGTTGCCGTATCACTCTGCACACTTTAAGATTGCTAAAAGAGGAATTGCATCACTTTGCTTAGAATATTTATTGAAAAAGTCGTGTCTACAACACATGCACACTAGTTTTTGTGATCAGATCAGCCGATTGATGGCAGTGGGCTTCCCTTCCTCGGTCATAAACACTGTCACCAAGTCACTAATGCAGAAGATGAACCGTGGAACACAAAGAAATAGAGCTGCTAGGGGTTCATTGGGCTCCAAACCTCAAGTGATGCCGTACTAGCACAAGCTCTCCCATAACCTTAAGAAGGTCACTGCTAAGCATGGTGTGGCTCTAGTCTTTTCGGTGCCAGAAAAACTAGCCAAGTTGTGTCTGCGCACTTGCGATAGCGGTTGCCTGAAAAAACACGAGAAAGCCTTTGTTATGTTACACAAAAGTCGTATACTGCATTCCTTTATCCTGCGGAAAAGTGTACATTGTTATAACCGAGATGCCTAGATGACCGGCTAATGGAGCATGCTCTAAAGGTTGAGAAAAACAAGGATAAGAACGTAGATCTTGTGGCATATACTGCCACTCGCGGGTGTGAACCATGATATACAGATATGCAGGTTCTTGGAAGAAGCTTGAATTCATCTGCACGTCTGCAGTTGGAAGCATACTCTATTTATTAAACAAAGATAACTGTGTCAGCGAGCCATCTTTGGTGTTACATCAATAAAAAATATTCTTTCTCGAGGCGAGAATTCAGTGCTTCTAGCTGGTTTATCCGTTTTTCGTATTTCTTTTTCAATTTTTTTTTATTTGTTACCTTGTTGGGCAGCAGCGCTACATACATCACTTGTTGATTAATGCTTTCCCAAGCAACCTTCACCGACTGGCCACGATTGGCGGATGGCTGGCTGCTAGTTGGCAGCCGACTTCACTGGCCCCCAGACATTCCAAAATGATCGGCCTGAAGTGCGCTGCCGGCTACAGCAGCACTTGTTCGGCGGCGTGGGCCGGGCCAGCGTTGATGGATGAGCGAATGCCGAACGCGCCAAATGCCTGTAAGCTGCACGGTTCAGGCCACCGTCGGTGGCCGAATGAACAGCAAGCATACCAAACCCTTATCGGAGTTAGCAGTCAGCAACACATCGTCAATTAGCATAGTGAAATAAGGTGTATATATTTAGGGTGGCATAAAATATATTGTTGCGTGATTTGGCTAATATTCTTATGTATACGTATCACTATAAACACCAGTGTGTTTTCTTTACTTATCAGAAACAATACCTGGGAGACAATGAGAGAGAATATATCTGTGGTCTTAAGCTTGATAACTTTAATTCGCATGGAGTACTTGTGTGACAATTCGATTACATTATTGACTAACTAACCAAAAATATTAGTAATTTAATTCGTACATGGTTCTGCCAGGTGAGCATATTCACTTTGAGAAATTTTTCGGCTCCATCATTTGCCAAGAGGGCAAAAAAATGTATATACAGTCGAGCCCGCTTATAATAAACATGAGCCTGACGCGGCATTTGTTCGCTGTATCCAAAAGTTTGTAGTAAATGAAATGCAGCTTTTCAAAAAGGTGCGAGTGAAAACACAAAATTTTTGCCCAAAAAGTCTGTGACTCACATGTTTCGAAGAGCAGAAGCGATAAGGGCGGTCTCAAGTTTATTTAAAATGGCAGTGTGCTTTTCGCCAAGGCCCGTGACATAAGCTGCATGAGGCACTAGCTCCAAAGTTTTGTCATTCTCGCAATCCGATTCCTTCAAATTGTTCTTGCCCCATACTTCATTCACAATGCCCTAATCCGTGCACGGTTCTAGGGTCTCGGCATCATCATCGGCCGTAATGAAACCATCACAACAGATGTCCCACCCACTCTCCCATGTCGGAGCTGACGATGCGCTGCCATAAATCGCCACCGCAATGGTCCTGTTCGGAAGCTTCACCCTCGGCATCGCGAAAACAGTTTTCCCAAAGTCAGCCTCGTGAAAACAGTTTTGCATGCATGTAGCCGTCACCACCGCCCCCAAAATATTCACCATTTTCACAGCTGAATACCGGGACGCCCAAAGCGGCAAGTTGGCTGCCAAGTGGTCAACATCAAGTGCTTTGCAACGCACCTAATGTGTGGATTACGCCCAAGCCAGGCGGTCCTATTTTCGACGTTTTGTTTAGTGGCAGGAAAAAGAAAAAAGCATGCAAGGCCTCCCATCCGCCATCTTGACCACACACACGCACCTAAAGACCAAGATGCGCACACGCGACACACATGCCAGAACAGGTGAAACAGCTCCGGGCCGTTTCTAGTCAGAAAACGAAGCTTCTGAATTCGAGCCAGCGTGGCTAGCATGGCGAAGCGGTGGAGGCAGGTGAAGGAGTTGTGATCAAAAGAGGAAAGCAGATTTGCGAGAGAAAAGCAAGGAGTTGGGATAGGGTGAAGCGAGGAGAAGATACGGCGGGAAGGCGACATTGAAAAACAAAACACGGCGGGAAGGAGGCAGGTCGGGTCAACGTTTATAGATACTTTTTCAGTTTTCGAACTCCTCATTTCGAGGCAGGCACGATTTCCTTCTACAGTGTGCGAGGGCGCTGCAGTTTAACTTTGCGCCAAGTAACTGGCTGCTTCCCACTGGCTTCACTGCCGATGCAGTTTCGTGCATTCCGTGCTAGTGTTCGGTCGCACTTCTTTTTCTGTGTGCATGTCTTGTCGCCTGGCATGCTTCCATGGTCTTCTGAAGACGATTCAACGCCTACCGTCAGGATAATACCCTGCCATCCACGATGTAGGAAACTCTCCAATTGTTCACATCGCGAGTACGATCTAAGCATTGACCATGTGTGGACACACCGAGCACGTGTGTATGTCTCTTTAGGTTAATTCTACTGTTGCTACTATCACGAGCGATGGCTCAGACACTGCGGACATCATAACAATGTGTTTTGTGACCGGGTACATCAGCAGGTAGAGGAAAAGCTCCTAAGAACGCCATTCTCCCCGCCGTCCGTCCTACGCTGTTACTGCAGAAGAAGGAAAGATCCATGAAAAGTTTGGGAAAGACGGGCAAGGTGGACAATATTTGTGCAAAACATCATTGGCGCAAACTTAAAAGACGAAAGAAGAGACTCGGAAAAGCGCACACTCGCAACTGACTTTTATTGAACTGAAGCTCGTCTTATAAAACCCTCATGCATGTGTACAACCACAAGAAGAGACCAACCAACTATAATCACAATCTGTCAGATAGAAAATCAAATTCATTATCATACAATGACAGAGATGGAACACTGATACATTGTTTGCCAAATTGTCGAATAAACATCGCCTCTGCCAATTCACGTGCCACTTTGTCTTTGCTTCTTAGCAATATTTTCGTACGGTGCAGTAGCGGTTCACAAGAGCATTCCTTAAAATAATGCGGCAAATGCGAACCCGTGCCGTTTCTAATAATATTGGGACGCCTTTTTCTCTTCTTTCAGCAATTGCTGCACCTTCTCGCATTTTGAACGATGGTGCAACACTTAGGAGTGCAATCATCCTGTCATAGTCTGGTATCGACCCACCGAGCCACCTTACTGTGTGCAAACACATACTTCTTCTTGTTCAGTGAAAGCATCTTGTGAAATAGCAACATCCAGATCTGTTTCGTTGGTCTCTGCTTTTCGCTTGCTTGAGGTTTGATGTAGTGGCAAAGCTCGTAAAGCAGGATCTTTGGGAGGCTTCTATGCACTTGAAAGCAAGTAGAAAGGATAGTCCTCAAAAATAGTAGGCGCAGAGTCTGGAGTAAGTTTTCTGATGTGGAACACAAGCACATAGTCTTAATCGCGCAAGTGTCTGCTGCCTACGACTGTTGGTTCAGACTTGTATGTCACTTGGTGCACAGCTCTTTTTTAGGAATTGGTGAGAAAAAACACCAGGTGTTTTCCTCGAACGAGACTTGGAATAAGTAACCACGGCGATCAAGCAGCTGTGACGGAATACAGAAATACACCTTGACACAGATTATATCCATGTGCGTAATGCGCGTAGTGAAGGCTGTGCGACTGCCTTCTCGACTCAAGAAATCGCAAAGCACAAAATGAAATGCAGC